CATGTACGTAGGTTCTTCTGTTGTTTTTAACATGGTTTTTCTCTGTAGTGCTTTTACCTTCAACATAAAGTCGGCTTGCAGAGAAAACTGTGTGGTAACTTATAACTGTAGCAATTACACCTTGGGCAGGCTGTCCTGCTGGGAATAACACAGTGAAGGGAACTGTGCAGCCTGGCAATACGCTGGGAGAAGGGTGAGATGGGGGCTCTACCCGAGAAAGGCAATGGCTGGAGGCCTGAGAGTGGGGGCCCTTGCTGGGCCACTGAGGGGAAGTACAGGTGCAGTTGCCCTGAAATGAGGCAAGCAGTTCACACATCACGTTAAGTCACTGAAGAGTACCACATTCCAACTGAAAGTACAAGTGGAATTTTGGCCCTGGTGTTACATCCACTGTTTCAGAATAGTACAAAATTTAAAAAGTCAGCTAAAGAAGCATCTCTCTACCATCTGTTGTCTCTTAGGAGCAGCCTCAATTGTCTAAGCTCTTTGGTCAATTTTTTTCCTTATCTGACATCCCTGTAGCAGACTCTCCAATTATGTACCCAATGTATGGATGCTGCTGTTTTGACGGAGTGAATGCTGTGATGCAGCTGCCATGCTTTCTGTAATGAAGGATCCTTTCAAGTTTGTGGACTGGGGTCTCCTCTCCATTATAGATGGATGGATTGTCCTTCCTTGGAGGAATCAGCCATTAATAGCAGAGGTTTTTGACATCCTCCACCCAAGCTGGCTCTATCCCATCTCTCTTCCTCAGATTCCAGTTAGTTTCCTGCCTTATCATTGATACACCTTTATTAGTCTCCTATAGTAAATGTAAGGGGATTGTGAAAACTTTTGTCTTTGAATAAGGGGTAACCAATCTGAATAAGTTGAGAAACATTGCTTTAAGAGAAGGGCCAACATCCTCACAGAATGGACCTGTACAGAGAACTAGTGAATGCTGGTGTGGAAGAAAACAAGTTCTCGCTCTGCGTTTGTTAGCAACAAGTCAGAGACCGTTTACTACGAGCAATTGAAAGGGAAGCTGCAGTCGGACAGGTGGTCCCCGACTTTAGGCAGTTCCTCCCCCTACAAGCAGTGTAAGACAAGTATTTATACTTTCCTGTTACATACATCAATGGCTAACGATTATTCTTTGTTTATGCAAATTCCCTCGAGACGCTACTTTATTTTAAGGCTTCTGCTTAAGTCAGCATTTTATCCTTATAAACTAAAAGCAAGGCGAAAACAGCATCTCTTACAACTCTCACATGATTAGGGTTACCTTTCACTCTATCCTTAAATTAAGACATCTACCCCACATCCTCCTTTTTCTGTTTTTCTGCTTCCACACTGGCTATTATGGAAAGAGATCTTACTGCTCTTAGTCTCTCTTCTCCCCCACCCCCTCACTAGTGGTTATTTCCTCTATGCCCAGGGCTTTTTCATAACCTGTGGATTATGAGCTTGAGGTGTGTGTGTGTGTCACAGGTGAACATACTAAACCCTACATAATGCCCCCCCCCACCACTTATCAGGAACAACGCTGGTCCTGCCAGGGCAGTTGAGGGACAGGAGGGGGAAGTGTTCAGTCTGAGGCTATTGCTTTTATGCAGTAGTGCTCATCTAACTTTCCTCCCCCTGCCAGTAAGTGAGCAGCTGCTGCGCTCAGTCATCAGGAATCTGCAGCAATGTCCTTTCAGCAGGGCCACACTGCAGCTGGGTTAGTTCCCTTCACGGCTATGCTGTTGCCTCCTTTCTGAGAAGCTCAGAAGCTGGGGAGGAGTAAGAGTCTAGTCTAGCAGGAACGGAACTGACCTGCTGCCAAGGAACACCACCTGTAGCCGCTCTTCCTTTTCCTGCCACTGTCGTGCTGGAGATAAGTCCATGGGAGTTGGCTGGTTTGTAAAAGACGTAAGATGGGCACTTCAGGGAGAGGGACGTGAGTACTGGGGAGTTTAGGAAGGTGGAGACAGTAAACATGGGAGCAAATCTGAGAATGAGACTTGGGGCACTTGGAAGCCAAAAAGAAAAAAGGGTGAAAACATCCAAAACTGGCCCCAAATGAAATGAAACTGAAAAAAAAATTCCATTTTGGTTTGAAGCAAACAACTTTGGGGGTATTTTTTGTGGTTCTCAGCTCTAACTGTAACCAACCACAGCAGGGCTGAGCATTTCCCCTATACAGGGCATTTGTGGCCTGAGCTAACTTCAGCTTTGGGTATATGAGATGTGAGGACCACCTGTCTCCTCCTCCTCCTCCTCCATTGTAGGTGTTCGGCTCTGAGTTGCCCGTCTGCCATACTTCAGATGGATCTGGCTGTGATGCTGGCAGGCCAGGTGCCAGTTCTTGCCCAGGCTGCAGGCATTAACTAAGAACCGACAAATTTATAGCTGGAGACCAGACCAGTTCACCTGTATATTAGTTTTACTCAAAATAAGTATGAGTCTTCTAAGAATGGATTTAGTCTTTAGCCTCTGTGAAATGCCTGTAAATTGCTGCATGCATTATTCTCACTTGTAATGTCTGTATTCCCTGCTATAAGAAATAATGTATGTTTCTTGCTTTATAACTTTGAAACTGCTCTGAACTTGTGAACTGAGGCATGGAAATCGTCCCCCCATCTAGAAGGACTATCAAAATCAGATGAACCATCAAGGAACTTCACAAAACAAAGTATTGGTTAACGGCTCTATTGCACCTGGAAATGCTACATGCAGGGAAGCTCGTCCTGTGGGCTTTGAAAATGAATGAAGGAAATGAAGCAAAGCAAAGCCACAAGAAATTTTTCCATTTTCTTGGCTGTTTGAACTTTGAAGGACCAGAGACGGTAAACTGAAGCCAGAGATCCTCAGAGGCTGCCTCCTAAATCCACCGTGAAAGACACTTTTTGAATTGACAGATCACTACAATTCTTTCGCTCTTAGGGTTTAGATGGTAACTCTGTGTGTGTGTGTGTGTGTGTGTGTGTATGTTTGCTGGCTTTAATCTGTAAATAACTCTTATTCCTTTTTCCTTGTTAATAAACCTTTAGATAGTTTATTACAGTATTGGCTACAGGCATTGTCTTTGATGTAAGATCAAGGATACCAGTTGATTTGGGGTACATGTTTGGTCTTTTGGGACTGGAAGCAACCTGAATGTGGTATGATTTTTGGTGTACGTGACCATTTATCACTAAATCTAGTTTGGCTGGCAAGATAGATTGGAGAGTCTAAGGGGACTGTCTATGGCTTCCTAGTAAGGCTCTCATAATGATCAAGGAGTTCACATTTGTTACTGGCTTGGTGAAATCTAATTAAAGAACACACCACCAGTTTGGGGTGTCTGCCCTGTTTTTGACAGTCTGCCCTGAAGTAAGCGCACTCATGGTCGTGAGCCACTCCTGACAGCGTGACACTGGTTGTTGTTCGTGTATGTCCAAACCTTAGAGTTACTTAAACATATCTCTAGTTTTCATTAAGAAATATGTATTTTAGTGGGACTGATACTTTCCCACAGAAGTGAGGTATCAGTCGCAATGCAAGCACACATCCATTAATGCACAGTTGAGAGCAAATGAACAGGAATACCAATCATAATCTTCCCATCAGTGTAGTACTTCTGCCCCAGAATAGGTTTTTTCTCTGAATAGAATAGGGCAGCTACCCAGTGCCAGGGTAACTGCTCTTAGCAAATTCCTCATCATTCTGTTTTGAGACTGCAAACCTGGGGCCAGATGCTGCTCCCACTGAAGAGAATGGAGTTTTTGCTATTGACTTCATTGGGAGCAGGATTAAGCCTATAAATATTAGTATCAAAAGGAACAAAAGGCATCTGCAATTCTTATCTACTGGATGGATTTGTGAAATAAATATGGTGGATAAATTCATCATGGGATGTATTCATTCAGCTATGAAAATACTTTGGTTAGTGGGTTTGAGTGACTACAGATTCTTAGCAAAGGTCAAAATAACCTTTGCGTACATATAAAGAATTTTCCACTGAATGCATCCGATGAAGTGACCTGTAGCTCACGAAAGCTTATGCTCAAATAAATTTGTTAGACTCCTTCTTTTTGAGAATTAATTGGGTAATTCCAAGTAATTTGGAAGGGCATTTAGATGTCCATATTTATGCAGTCTCCTGTATTGAGTTCTGTTTCTATCTCTGACAGGAACTAGTGTGATCTCGAGCAAAGTCACTTCTCTGGCCCCAGTTTACTCATATGTAATTTGGGTTTAGTGCCTACTTCATAGGGGTGTGTAAGGGCTTAATGTCTGTAAAGAAGCCTTGAGATCCTGAGGTGAGAGGTGCTAGGTAAGTACAATATGGTCTATATGGTAATAAGGCACAGACTGTGGATACACACAGTCAGAGCTAACATCATGATCTCTACCATGTAGGATACCCACTTCTATCCCTACTACAGCTGATAAAAATAAAAAGATTGCAGGATGTTTTTGAAAGTAGTGGCTGTTCAAAACTGGCAGTAATATTAGACAAGTTCTACAGCTGGTCAACCTCTCACCCTACCCCTACTGCCAGACTTAAAAACAAACAAACAAAAAAAGATGAAATTGGGGGGGGAAGGGGGATCAAATTAAAAAGAAATTCTGAAACTCAAAATTTGGAAAAACTTCAGCCTTCTCTAGTCTCTATTGCCATTGGAAGTAGCTATTGCATGTTTCGGAATAGAGGGTAGAAATCCTCCCCCCCCCCTAAAAAAAAAAAAATAAACCAACACAAACCCTCCTCCTTGGGTCACTGGGTCTTGTTACATTTATTTCTTACTATGTTCACAGGCTTGGGGAGATACTTCCCTGAATTGGTTCCTGCTCTCTTGCTCTCCTAGTTTATTCTAGAATGTAGTTTGTAAAATGAAGGAATTTGTGCATGTGTTTTTAAAGAGGGAGAAGACATTTGTATTAAACAATCCCTTGTCCCTAGGGGAAACTGAACCAGTAGCTCTGAAATGCAACACTGTAATTTCAAGAGCCTCGGAGCATTGTGTTACCTTTCAAATTTTTCCTCTTCACAGGTCTCAGAAGGACAGGTGTATGACTGGCCAATGAGGATGCAAGGTGACACATGTTAAGGAGAGCTGCTGGTGAAATTGATGGTGCATTAAAGTTACTTGCTATTAATTATTTGAAAGTAGATCATTTCTGTTTATTAACACAATGGATCTGGTCAGCCATGTCACTTAAAGCAGTTGATAATGACAATGGCTTGTAGATAGGCTTGGAAGGATTAGATTTTTTTTTATCAATAAATGTTGATAAACATCAGCTTTTGCCATAGAGACACACACTGATGAAAAAATATTTCCATTGATGCTAATTGAAATGTACAGATAGGTACAATAAGAAATATGCTGCTTGAAAACTGATTTAAGGCTATTTAGTTTGTATATTTTGACATGTAATGTTGACAATTTGTGTTGTAATGGCTGTAAAGCTTTAATTTTTTGATCAATGTCTACTGTCATTAAATAATTGTCTAACCCCTCTCCCATTGTCCTACCTCCTCCCCACAATTTCCCATACCTGAAAATAGTATTAATCAGAAAAAAAAGCTTAAAACCCATAATTTTGTGCAACTGTCAACATTTCAATTAATAAGTATAGAAAAATGCTTAACTGCTATGAGCTAGGATGGGCAGGGATGGTGTCCCTAGCCTCTGTTTGCCAGAAGCTGGGAATGGGTGACGAGGGATGGATCACTTGATGATTACCTGTTCTGTTCATTCCCTCTGGGGCACCTGGCATCGTCCAGTGATGGAAGACAGGATACTGGGCTAGATGGACCTTTGGTCTGACCCAGTATGGCCATTCTTATGGTCTTATGTTAAACATAGCTATTATCCATTGAAATTATTTAAAAAATGGAAATCTGCCAAGCCTACTTGTAGGTCAGTTGAGTCTGCCTGAATGATAGCTCCACACAGAGTAGATTGGGTTTTTATCTACTCTACGAGTTCTGCATGGTTGGTTTGTTTCCGAATAGTGGAGTTCTGTGAAGCAATCCTAACAAGCCACAGTTTGAACTTGATAAACTACTTCTGTTTGCTGCAGGAAATGACCTGCCAGAAATGACCCAGGCCTACATCACTGTTAAGGGAAGGGAACTGGGGGAAAAAAACTCAAACTATTTTTCCTCCTCTTTAAAATTTAGAAAATTTCCCCCTTTTTAAATTAAATTATATAACCATCTAATAGATTTTTTGTGCCATTTCATAATAATTATGGGGTAGGCAAAAATATGGAACATTCCTTAATTAAATCTGGATTTTCATTTGTTTTTTTATTTAAAAAGAAAACACTTGTGCCAAGAATCTTTATTCTCCCCACCCCCCTTTTTTGTATTTTCTTATATACTTGGCAGAATTAATGACAAAAATCTTTCTAGCTGTGACGTTGCCAAAATCCTGTTCTGAAGCTCCTACTAATTTGGATTAAACTGGATAGTTGAAAGCCTCAAACAACAAATCCTGGCAGTGGATTGCTGAGGCCCCACAACCGTGACATCAACTGTTCTTATCTTCAGAGGGAAAATAAATAAGCAAAATATAACTTTGTAATCACACAGTTGTTAGCTCTGTCTTTTCCATGGGCTTGGGAATTCCAACTATGTGTGGAAAGATCATGGACTACAAAAACAGGGACAGCCTTAATCTTCTGCTTAGCCCCCTTTTGCAGGCGATGCCTGTAATTTGCACGGTGAGGTGCTGATTTAACTTGTGTAATGCTGGAAGGTGTTTTTATACCTTGTGCCAACTACTGTGTGCGTGAACATGGAAGCTGCATTTTAAAGCCTGGTTCTACTCTGAAAATGATTCTCTTAATGTGGCAACTCTGAGGTTTTAGGATTGTGATTTCTTTAAGCCACAGGATCTTCACCAGTCCCGACTGTTGGGTACCTAGCTCCCTCCAGCAGTTCCAGGGGTAGCTGATGCTTTGTTGCCTGCTCCCCTTACTGTCCAGGTTTTCTGCCTCTGGAGTTAGCCGCTGTAAGTACTCCTACTGTGACCAGTAATTAAGTTAGTTTCTTTCAGTTGGGCAGACCAACCTCTGGCAAGTTGCCTACATCATTTCCCCTTCCCTCTAAGGGAGCTTTTAGGAAAGCTTTCAAGCTTGTTAGGACCCTGCTCAGTGTGTTTCTCTTCAGCATTCCTTATCCAGGCTGAGTGTCCTCTAGGGGTGAGTCAGGGAAAACTCATTACTATAAATCTCGGCAAGTCCTGCCTGTGACGAACACCCACAGACCCTTGTTCTGTCAGAGAAAGGGCCTTTTATTCCCTGGGATGGGATGGCACAGCACCCTGGCCCAGGCAGATTCCTCCCATAGCGAGCAGATTCCATAGCGAGCAGATCGAGGGACGTGATCGTTCCCCTCTATTCGACATTGGTGAGGCCTCATCTGGAGTACTGTGTCCAGTTTTGGGCCCCACACTGCAAGAAGGATGTGGATAAATTGGAGAGAGTCCAGCGAAGGGCAACAAAAATGATTAGGGGTCTGGAACACATGAGTTATGAGGAGAGGCTGAGGGAGCTGGGATTGTTTAGCATGCAGAAGAGAAGAATGAGGGGGGATTTGATAGCTGCTTTCAACTACCTGAAAGGGGGTTCCAAAGAGGATGGCTCTAGACTGTTCTCAATGGTAGCAGATGACAGAACGAGGAGTAATGGTCTCAAGCTGCAGTGGGGGAGGTTTAGATTGGATATTAGGAAAAACTTTTTCACTAAGAGGGTGGTGAAACACTGGAATGCGTTACCTAGGGAGGTGGTAGAATCTCCTTCCTTAGAGGTTTTTAAGGTCAGGCTTGACAAAGCCCTGGCTGGGATGATTTAACTGGGAATTGGTCCTGCTTCGAGCAGGGGGTTGGACTAGATGACCTTCTGGGGTCACTTCCAACCCTTATATTCTATGATTCTATGATTCTCCCCTACCTTAGTGCACTGTAATAGGGTTGGAAGGGAAAGGCGGCTGCTCTGGGTGCCTGTGCAGGGATCCCCTGCTCTGCAGCTGCTCAGAGCACAGAAGCATGTTCAGGAAGGTAGGAGAGCAGCTCCTCAGACAGGGGCAGGAACTGCAAGCTGCTCAGCCAGAATTCCTGAGCTGCCTAGAGTTCTGTGTGTGAGCATAAGAAGGATTAAAGATAAAAGCAGCTCACAAATGTGGCAGTTGAGAAGCTTGGATACTTGCAAAGGAAATAGACCTTGGTGTGAGACTCCTCAGCATTCCAGGTGGAACTTTATAGGAAGCTATATTCTTTGTCTTCAGGCTTCCACTGCTAGCACCAAATGCAGCAAAGAGCTGCCTAACCTGTACCTGGAGATGGACTCCTTGCAATGCTTTTCCAGCTCCCTGGCACGCCCTCTTCCAGCTGGACATATGTGTGTAAGGAAGAGTCTCTCCTGGCCACCACTGGTGGGTTTTTTTCCTCTGGCTGTTGAGAAGGCTGGAGGAAGATGCCCGATTCCATTCCTTGCCTGGCCCAGCGCCTCTAAAAGGACTGGGAAATAGAGAGCCTGACCCCCTGCCCATCCCCACCCATGGTGTATTGAGGTAGGGGGTAGCACTGTGGAGACAAAAAGGGGAAGGCCGGGGCTGAGGGCAATCAATGACTTCAGGAGAGAGGAAACTCAGTCGAGATTCAACATAGCGGGGCTCCATAGTTGTCACTGTCTCACCGATTTCCTTATCAAATGTGCTCGGTTTGCAAGTTAAAATATTTTTTTCCCTTAACTGCTTGCTCTGCAACCTCCCCTGGACTCTGACAGTCCAGCTAGGTTATTTCCATCTCATGGTTCATCACCAGTTGTAAGAACTTTTCAGGCTAAATTGTATGCTCAATGAGACCTGTGCAACCCCATTATTTCCAGATTATGTCTTTGGTTACACCTGCCACAGCCCATGTGTTTACATTATTAGGCTATAATGAGGTCTAAATTTGGCATTTAGTACTTCATAACACTTTCCCATCTGTACATGCTTTTTAAAAGCTACATTGTTTAACAACCTTAGAAAAATCAAAGATTAATACATGTTGATTTGGCTGAAGTCCACTGGTTCCAATATGGAAAATGTGCCATAATATGCTGCCTTACCTTTCTATCTAATTGTAACACCTAGATTGCCATATTAGGATACAAGAACATATAGCACGAAACACTAAGGGTATTCAGTTGTGCATGCATGACTCCCATTCCACCAGAGAACAGTACTTAGCTTTAAGACAATATTGGATGTCCTTTGTCCAAGATAAGACCCTAATTGACAAGTAATAGTATTGAGGGCTTGAACCTAACTACATGACAAAGCAGTGAAATTTAAAAGAAAATATCTAGGCCTTTACTACTTATATCATTTTAGTTTAATATGAAGAATTTTAAATTCATTTGACTCTACAAGAATAATAGAGGGAAGAATTTGTAATCTTCCCTTTGATTCTTCCTTCATCCACCTACGAGAATCACGTGTCCCTTTGAAATGTATACCTAACAAAAGAGAGCTGTCCATTTAGTTCACAAATGCTGTCACCTTCCAGGACTACAGTGGTGCACTGTTTCCCATGATACACTTTTGGTTCATGGGGATCTGGTATGTTTGTGTTTCCTTAAGTGATACTTCTAAAATTTCAGGGTTTTTCTTTTAATCACATACAACATTTTGTGGTTTTTAAGAATTTTAAACCACAATTTTTTAAGGGACAGATTTTCACAGAAATTTAGATGCCTAAAATGCAGATGGGTACCTAGGAGGATATGCATAACACCCTAAGCAGGTTAGATGCCTAATTCCCAATGAAAGTAAATAGGCACCTAACTCACTGGGTCTGGCCCAATCCTGAGTTTGTGTTCAGTTATGATGGCTCCTAAAGTGTCACTTTTGCAAATGAAGCTCTCTCTGCAGCCATACTTTCCCTAGTCGATGGTGGCAGAGAGCTCCTTGCCCTCTAGCACTTCAGGGGGCTTACCTATGTATATTAGATACATATGGCCCCTCTTACCATGGTATCTGAGCATCTCACATTCTTTAATGTATTTATTCTCACAATATCCCTGTGAGGTAGGTAGGTAGGTAGGTATCCCCAGTTTATAGCTGGGGAATTGAGGCACAGGGTTTGTCCAAGGCCAGGCAGGATGTCTGTGGTGGAGCAGAGGGTTGAAGGTCTTCCAAGGTCCAGGCTAGTGCCCAGAACACTACATCATCCTTCCTCTCTGGGATTGACCACAACCAGCTAACGGTGGCATTATCCATTAGAATTTTCTCTGTGCCAAGAGACTGGAGCAACCAAACCTTTCATAGTTGTAAAGAAGCATAAAACAAGCCCTTTTATATTGGCTGTATTGTAGTATCTTTTAATGTTCATGTAGTTAATTTTCACCAAAATGTTAGCAATGTAAACATTAAAAGTAGCAGCTTTATAGAAACTTGTCCAAAAGTGTAATGCTATTAGGTAATGTGTACAAATCTTCTAACTGGGAGGAACGGATGACCCTTGTGACTGTTCTGAGCATATGAGTGAAAGAATGAATGACTGATCTGTAATTTAGCAAAGGAGTTCATGCTGGTCTATGATGTAAACATGCACACCATATTGCACATTTTTAAGTCATGTAAACTGAATCACACAAGCAACACGCAAACTAATTTTTTGATGAAAGTAACTTAAATATTTCTGGCCACTGAATAACCACTGTCTCCAGGGAAAAGTTGAAAAGCTGTAATCTGCACCATTGGTTTCAATCATTCAAACCTGTGATCAGTATGGGAGACTCTCTTTACTCTTATGTTTTGTGTAGAACTAGAGCAAACAGGTCAAGACTCAGGAGACTAGGAGAATTAATCCTTTATTATAGTGGTTATCTTCAAAGCTTGTCTTCAAGATCTTGCTCACCAAAAAAAGACAGGCACAATGGGTTTTCCAAAGAAAACACTGCATGTCTGTGAGTGCTAATGTCAAGAAAGATGAATTCATCTGCTGAGCTGCGGTATCCTCCGAACACCACAACCATTGCAACTAAAATAGGTAAACAGTTCTTATTACTCCAGTGAATGTCTACAATGGGTTCCTCTTCTACCTTACAAGCCCATCGCACTGATCGAAGCAAAATAATTTTCTGAACAGTCTCCTAAATTGGTTTTTATTTTTAACTTAATCTTATTGGTGGCACTCCTGCTGAAAGCATGACATGAGAATTGAAATGTCATTTGAGACTTATTGCTCTTCCATATCACCTTTGGGCAAGTTTTGCCAACTCTGAAATCTAGAGCAGTGTTGACACTAGTTTCTGCAGAGAGAATAAGCCATTCAGAACCTGTTCCATCACTCGGCAGAGCTGTGACAAGGTGAAGATAAACATGTCACAACATTTCAGTGGGTCTGTCTTAGCCTTTCTCACAGGATACAGCTCATCAGCACATGAAGAGAGGACAACCAATAGGGTACCTCCAGCATATGAACAGATTATTTTCAAAGTTTTCCCCCTTTTTTTTTGTTCCTCTAGAAATTAAATTCCTAGTCTATGATGATGGATATTTTCTATCTTAAAGATGAGCGGTAATGCAATATCAGATTACT